AACACTTCATACGACATATCATGTACTTGGGCATGAAAGCAAAAGTCTGGGAATCAAAGACAGGGCCAGGAGGACACAACTAGCTCATCCACAGATGGCCAGGTGAGACACAAAGGTGAAAGTACACTGTAACATTTGGGAGACAGGGATCTCTCTGCAGCATATACTTTTAGGACTGTAAATGCAGCTTTAGCTGTAAAAAATTAGGAAGTCAAATTACCTGTCTGAAACCTCTCAAATGCAGGTAGCTTCCTCTGGAAAAGGGAATTTACATCAGGAGCATCAACTCATTATAATACTGGTGCCTAAATTAGGTAGACTTCATCATACTCATGGAGTTTCCTGACTTTTAGATTTTTTAAAGCATTGCAGCAGAACTTTTAAATGCCACTGGCATTTGGCCTGCTAAGTAGAACAAATGAACCAATCACAGTACCTCCTTTCACTAGATCAGTTCAGCCTAATAAAATTAACCGTGAGGAACAAGATTAATTGGACGTTAAACACATTGCCTGGAATGCACTTGTGACAGCTTCCCCCCAGCAGCCTTGGAGGACTAATGATATGTGTGAGTGACATTATGTCAGTGATATATGTGTGTGTCTATGCAATCCAGTCCTAACGTCAGTAGGATTAGCCTTGTTTTAAGCCCACTGCCAGGTATATGGGGCTTGGTAAGTCGATAGTACTATGAGGTTTTTTTTCAAGGTATGTGATTTACAGAGTTTTAGGTCCTCTGTCTTCATGAAGTAGTTACAAGAGAAGTCTAAATTTAGCAATGCAACAGCATGGGTAATTAAGAAAATTTGAGGAGGAGAGGTAGTTGAAGGATCTGAGTTTTGAATGTGATGTCCTTCAGTGGGATTGAAAGAAAACAGACATTTAAAATAGGTCAGATAAATCACTCCCTGAAAGGACCTGCTTGTTTTCTCTGTAAAGGGAGCCAGAGGTGGTATGCTCAGATACAGGTGTCTGCACTATAGGTACCTACATTTGGATGAGATGAATCCCACCTCTGGTGCCCAAATGCCATGAACAAAGAACACCTATATGGATAATACAGATGTAGTTGGAGTTTGAGAAGGCAAATTAAAAAAATATATATGCAGGGTTTTTGTTTTGCTCCCACTTCATTATCATCCCCAAGGAAGGTGATAATACATGTTTTTAACAGTGTGAGTAGGAAAGATGTGGCTCCAAGAACTGTCAAAGCACATCAGCCTTAGGGTAGGAGCTGTTATCACTACAGGCCACGGGACATACAAAACAAGCAAGGAAGATTTTGGATGATGACAATTATAGTCTAGATCTGAGCTCTTTGGGCCTCTAGTTCTCTTTTTACTTTGTTTCCTTCTGGCTGGTATTTTACTGTTTACCTGAAAAGATAAAATATTTATTTTTATTCTTAATTCATATTTAGTGATCTGATAAATATTGTGAGATCTATTGCCTTCAGAATGATGAGAGTAATTAGGAGGTATTAGGGTATTTTTAGGGTTTTCAGTACCCTACACAGAAGGCCCAGGGAACTTGCAATGAACCATGTGCATGTCACAAGGAGATGAAGGACATGTGACTCGCTACTAGGCTGGTGGAAGAAATGTCTTGGCAAGTGTAGGCCCAGTAGGTTATTAATCAGTAGTGGGAGAAAACCAGAGACTTAGGGTCACTCTGAGCCCATATACAGTGTTCTTGCTACATTTGGGAGAGCTTCAAGAGTGGTTCTCGCTGAAGGAAGACCATAGCTAATGTGTTAAATCAAATGGAAACACAGCAAACCCCTTATAATGCCATAAATCATCTCTAGTTACAGGAAAAATGTAAGAGACTTTTACTTGATGAATGAAAGAAAAAAAAAAATCATGAGAGGTTAAAATCTAAGAATTTTACCATGACTTGAATTCAGCTGACCAGAAATGTAACGCTAATAAATAATCCTGTTCAGGGAAAGAGGTATTATGACTATTCTTTAGTACTCCTTCAGAGTCCTGAGAAAAAATCTTGGAATCTGCCTTCTCCCAGGAGAAAGCAACTGATGAAATCCCATCATTATTGCCCATGGCAAGTCTGTGATTTACCCTAATTTTACCTGCCACGTGCAACTCAGACTTGCAGTGGCTTTATGTGAAACGTTAGAGATGTGGAAGAAATACAGAATGATGGCAGCTTTCTCCTGCAAAGGAAACTCATAGTTATGCTCTCAAAGTTTCTAATTATAAAATTTCTTTAATATTTTATTAATAGGACAGAAGGGAAGATGCCAAAACTTATGGTATTTCACAAGTAAGATTATGGGCTGATTTCTGATTGGTTGACAGGACCCTAATAATAAAACTCATAATTTTATACTACATTCCTCTAGTGATGATAGAAATTCTTTGTGCATAATAGCACCATTTCTATTCAGGAATCTTGTTAACAGTTGTAAACTCAGATTATCATTTTTATTAGCCTAGTGTTTTCTTATTTCTCTGTTATTGACAGGAAATTACAGCAAGTTTTCTGGCTTGCTTTTCTTTTTTGTTATAATGAAAACAGTTGCATTCAACTAGAAATTTCCAAGCACTGAATAGAGGACAGTATTGCTAGAAGCCAACAACAATTTAAAGTGCACAGATTAAATAAAAATAAATATGTTTAAAAACTAAATTCAAAGAGGATGTAGACTGGTAGATTGGGTTAGGTGCTGGTTTTTTTGTTTTGTTTTGTTTTGTTTTTTTCTTAAGGGTACATATATCAGCTTTTTTATACTTTAAGAGTTTAGGAACTAATTCTTGCCACCAAACTCAGTGTCTAAACTTGGCTCTACTGTTTCCATATTGCCTCATAACAGTAACTTTGACATCACTTCTGTGACCAAAGCCCCCTGCCCGTATTCAGTCCCTCCTGCCATGCAGCCTCACCCGTTGCTGAGATGCTCACCATGGACAGTGGGAACCAACCACCATGGACTTCTCATGACTTTGGGTGATTAGGAAGCTCAGACAAGAGTATTGGTAGTTGTTTCACCCCATTAGGCCACTTGAGCATCGTAAAAGCACTATTTCTAGGAGAATGTGAGACTATAGCTACATAATTTACCGACAACAGCCTACAGTTTATTCATATTACATCAGATACGCTTCTAACTGTCAGTTGATACTGAGTGAATAAAAACTTATTTCCATAACAAGAACACTGAATTCAACCCTTTTCTTCTCTGGTTATAAATGGATGGGAGCTCAGGATTACAAGGGACAAAGCCTAATTTTCTGGGCCTTGCAGATCTTGGTGTTGGGGTGGGGGAAGGCAAGTTGTCAGGGCAAAAGCAAGATGTGGGAGCTACAATGACCTCATTTAGCAAGACACCAGCATTTTCTGCACAAGCGAAGTAAACCTTCAGAAAAATATCACAGTGCTTGAAACTGAAGCTGAAATAGGGAATGATGAACTTCAGCAAGTGCAGTACCCTTAACCCTCTGCCCAAACAAAGTTGCTGTGAAAGATTTTCCATATGGCCCTGGCACATCCTCTCCTTTTCTACAGGGACACAAAAGGGACTGTGTTAAATCCAACTGCTACTCATGCCCCCTCTCCTTGGACAACTTCTCTCATGCCATCACATTATACATTTGGCAAAACACACCTTTGAGTCTAGAAAGTCTGACGTATCAATCTGCAGATTGTTCATTTCACACCACCTTTTTAAAAAAATCAAAATAAGGCAAAGAGCTTTCAAGGAGTTATACGACAGAATTACACTGATTTTCTAAGTCCATTCAATTTCTCCAAAAATTCCCATCCTATTTTCAAAAAGTTTTCATCAGCATGACCACAAATCCGTGAACAACAAAGTGTAAGAGTAAAAGCTACATAATCCAGTCTTAAGTGCAACAAGAACTAATTGCAGTTAGGAAAAGAGAGGGAGTTCAGCAATGATAAGATCCAGTCCTGCCAGTATTCAGCAGCTTCCTCTTAAATACAGGACAAGCTCAGCCTTCCTGTTGATTTCAGTAGGTGTTGTAGCATTTAATATTTGGCAGAATTACATTCAGAAAGCCTGAAAAAAGCATGTCACCTTGCAAGTTGTATAAGAGTAAACATAAAGCAAAAGCAAAACACATCTCATTTGTTAAAAAATAAAATGATAACATATTAGCATCAGAAAAAGACTAGAAAGGCGATCTTGGAAATCAGGGGACTTGCGAGGCAGGAACTGCAACGAGTATAATGCAGATCTGACTGTATCTGGCAGTCTGGTGTTCGTAGGAAACAATCCACAGCATCAAACTCATTCTTTACAAAAGCAACTCTTGGTATTCCATCTCAAAGTTTGTCAGCTCCTTGTAATTAGCTGTCACAATGGTATGGCAAGGTATGGAGTGGAACATCCCTTCCCCCCTTCTCCAGAACAACAATGGAAGGGACAGCAAGAACTTTACCCAGCACTGGACAACAATGAATCGTGGATACACTGACCCCACTTGATGCAAGAAGAAAAATATTTATTTTTTTTTTTTTAAAAAGTTTCGGCGTTGGACTTCCCTGCCTAGTAAACAGTCGAACAGGCAGGATGATACCCAAGACCATCTCCTCCACCCCCATCTCCACCCCCCTGTCGTATCAGTGCTTCAGGCAACGTTGAGAGGGGGAAAAAAAAAATCACACACACAAACCCCCCAACTCAAGTATCTGTTGTGATAAGAGCATGGAATAGTAACCAAAAAACAATCAAGTCCTCATTGTCATAGTGCGACAATCACAGCATCGCTTCTGTTGAGCAAATAGTCAATTCACAGAGAGAAAAGCATCGTGAGGACAGACAGGAAAGCTGTTATTACCCATTTTAAGTAATAGGAGAAGGTCACATATCAAGCAGTTACACCTTTTCATTACATCCTAACCCTCCACAGCAGGGGAACCACACTTATGACTGCGTTAGATATACAAAAGCTTTCAGCTCCAAAAAAGGAGAAGAAAAGATGAGGAGAGGAAAAAAAAATAAATTAAATTCATCTTACCAGCACGTTACAGCACCAACTTGCTTGAAGGAACGTTGCCTTTACAGGTTTCTCTTTTAATTATCCTGGAAGCAGAAGGGGGAAAAAAAAAAGAAGACGACGAAGCAGGGTTGTTAAATTAGCGTGTGCTCGAATCTTTTCAGTTTGTCGCAGAGTAGAAAAATACCAAAAAAAAAAAAAAAAAAAAGGGGGGGGGAAAAAAAGAAAGGGCAAGCAAAGAAAGAAAAAAAAGCAAAAGAAAGCTCAGTAATTTAAATTTGCTGTCAGTTCAGGCAGCATCGCTCTGTCCCGCCCCTCTTCCCACTGGGTTCTACTACCTGCAGGGCTGCAACTGACAGCTACTGTGCAAACAAAAAAAAAGGCAAAAAGCATGCTGGGACCATGCTGTCTGCTGTCTGAGTCTCTCTCCACTTCTGATGACTGGAAATCATTAGTGGAAAGGTTCTGTTGTTGTTTGCTGGGATTTTTAAGTTAGGTTCTTTGCATGAAATTTAATTTATTTTTAATTGATGCGACGCGGCACGTGACAGAAACCGGTGGTTGTGTTTCTCAGCTCTCCTCAGAATGGAAACTAACCTGAACAGATTGATTTTAATAGTATGGTATATGGAGAATACACACAGGCTTTACTGTGTTGCACTTTGCAGGCACGCAGTTAACCCTCCTTGTAACACCTTGTACAAAAACTCTTATTTGAATGGAAAGTCAAGAAAATTTTTCAACAGAAAGCAGTTAAAACTCTGGCACTCAAAGCAAGTTGCCAGTATTGTTTTTGCTCTGCTTTTAAGTTTTCCTTCTAAACTTTCTCAAATCGCTTTTGAGAACAAAAAGTAACAGAAGTCAGAGGCATAATGAGGCACAACACTTGTATGAAAAGGACGAACTGATAATCCCAATACACAACAAGCTGATTTTAACTAGATGTTTGAAACCATTTTTGACAGTCTATGCTAGTGACTATTATCAGAGTGCATACATCATATGAGTGTGAAATATTTGATGAAAACTAACAAGTAAACAAGTACAAAAGCTATAAATAGTATTTTTATATAACTATTTTAATTGTTGCTGACAGGCTTGCAGTAACAGGCTAAAATCATCCTCGTAAAACAAAAAAACCCCGTAATATATAAAGCTTCTAACTATAAATGTACTCACCAAAGTATGGTTCCTGCCTAATTATAAAATAAAATTAAAAGAGTGAAATGATGCTTTTCCTTAATACTTTAGTAGTAATTGCTTGGATTATGCCACAGTAAACATGCAACATTTGTATTCAGTTATTGCTCTACTTATGTGTGTAACCATAAAATTAAAAGCTGAAATTTTAAAACTTAATTGGATTAATCTTTGTTTTACTAGAAGTTTGCCATTTACACTGGAAGTGACACATGCATGCTCAACATACCTGCCATAGACAATTGGCTTCTAAATGGATTTTTGAAAACTCTGCAGAAACTAATTGCTACTTTGCCTCTGTGCCTTTACCCATCAAAGTAGATCTGGTAAGGCGATTCCCACTACCAGGAGTTGCACAACAGGGCTCAAGGTCTGGCTACAGCCCTCTAAGGCTCCTGTTCATGAACACCCAGCCATGATAAACTGGTATCACAGTCAAGCTCTAAGTTGTTTTTCTTCTCTTTTAAAGCCTCCAGACGCTTTTAAGAGGTGATGACCTGAAGCCGTTTCTGTTGTGGGTAGAAATCTCCCACCACTACAGATATGAGGATTAAATTGGCATAGATGACAGCCATCTCTTTGCAAAGTTTACCAAGATCTCTTACCAGACTTTTGTTGTCTATGAAACCTTTTGCTATACCCTGTGGATTCAGTATCAGCGGAGAGGGAAAATATAGTATAGACTATCTTAAAAATGGAAATACATAAAGACTGTAAACATAATTAAGAAGAGGTGCAACAGTAGATTCCCCAAGTAGTCACAGAAAAAATGCAGCATTTTTCCACTAGAATTTGATTTCATTTACACTTGTGTGGTTTTAAAGCCCATTTTTGCACTAGTAAAATATTTTACTATAAATTTCCATCCAAGTTCAGTGTCTCCTGACTCTGTGTCCTTTGTTTTAACTGTAAAACACTCCTTCTTTTTGTTCCTTATTAAGAAATAAAAATGGTAAAAGTGTTCTTGACGATTTGACAGCATTTAATCCTTAATTTGGTATCTTCATGCACGTGTACACACACACATGATCATTTTCAAAATTCAGTTAAATCCAACTAACTTATTATCCCTCCATATCTCCTCGCAAAAGTCAAGGGAGGACTGTTTTTAATGCACTTGGCATTTTAAACAAGGCACTCAGACCTTCAAAAGACAAATAATTGAACTCTGCCTTTAAAGAAATACTGTAGTGCACTAAATAACGAAAACTGAAAAAGCTGGATTTAGTAAGGAGATACTTTCAAGGAAGCCATTTGAATAATTGGTTGAGAAAATGCACAAATGCTCGTAAAATCAAACATTTATAGAAACACCTTACTTGTGCTGTTAACTTGAAATAAAAATAGTGCTACAATAAGATACCAAAATCAACATTTTCTCCTGTAATGTAGGACATGAGAGTACACAAGAACAAACACTGAGGTGTTTAGAAGAAGTGGGTGGAATTTCATTCATTTTAGGATTTTAGTGATGCTGTATGTTAATATTAACTATTCATTGTCTCTGCTAATGTCTAATTTTAATTAAGGGTCATGGACTTAGGAACGTAGAACATGGAGTAGTTTGGACTGGAATGGGAAAGATAATTTTTTTTTTTTGGCCATTCTTTAGTTTTTAATGAATCAGTTTTGTTAAAGAAGCAGTAATTAACAGAGGTTTTCTGCTATATAATGCAATAGAAAATATCTAATTAACCTTTGTATCCTCTACAACACTATTGTATGAAGCATTTTCTGGTGTTGTTTTAGTCAGGAACATTTTTGCCTTTAACTTCAGTAGAGTTACTGATTAGTTTGAGGTTTGTTTGTTGTTTTGGGTTTTGTTGTTGTTCTTTGGATTTTTCTCTCTTTTTTTTTCACAAGTTTTGATGTCACTGATCTTCAAATATTGGCTCCTAAAAACACTGAAACCATTTTTAAAATTTCCATTATTTAAAGAAGTAAAACAACCCTGAAACCAAACAACACACAAACCCTTTGAATCCTTTTTTGCACCCCGTCTAAAAAGACTCTGCTATATTGTGATGGGAAAGTGGTTGAAGAAGAGGTTTTAGTATGAGATTAGTTCCAGTATTAAAATCAAGACTTGTAAACTTGGCAAATGCCAAACGAGACCAGAAAGACCCCTTCCTGGGGATCTGGGATCTGAAGTCTTTCTTTGCAGCCAAATCTATCTAAGCGGCCTCACTTCAAATAAATAAACCCCTGTGCCTTCCTGCCCCTTAGAAGCAAAGGGGCTCACTCAGCTCTATTAAAACCCTTCGCCTGTGGAAAGGGAATTTAGAGAAGGTGTGAATTATACAGCTGAGAGAGATAAATGTAATTTTGTGTAAACAGCCAACTCCATTGTTAGAGGGAGACTTGGGAATAAACATGGGCCATACAGCCAGCTATGACTTTCAACTTTCAGTAGTGGCACATCTTAAGATTTACAACATGTATTAATTATGTCAAAGTAATACCCAGCCCCTGGTGACTTCATGTACCGTATTGCTTTGTGTACAAGCTGAGTCTTCTGTTACACTAATTGCTTTCTCCTGCAGCTTTAAATTGGGAGTGGTTTTCATGTACATTTAACGGCTTTCCTCTGCAGCTCGCAAGGAAAAGGTAGTTGAAGGTGGCTTCTAAACAAAGATATACAGTAATTAAAAGCTCTTTTAAAGAGAGCCTTTCTGTACAGCACCTGCTGCTAATGGAGTACTTTGTGTACAGTTCTGTGGGGTCTTTGAATACAGTGCATTATTTCAGAAGTAGAGTGTTGTTAGAGGATTTCTACATCTGATGTGGTGACCTATATTTGTTAATTATTGATGTTGGGAAAAAAAAAGAAGGAGACTTCTCCCTTCCCCCAAACAAATTCATCCCATAAAAATGGTTTGGTAAAGTACAAACTAAGGTTTTAAACTTCTGATTGCCTTGTGGATAACAATCAATTAATTTTATTTTTTATTCCAGCTGAAAAAAAAATTCTTGTTACAATTTCCATTAAAAGACCATCACTTTGCTTACCAACATTTCTTCTTAAGGAAGAAAAAAATTCTGCAGTTTATGTCATTTAATAAATGACAGTTACACGTCTTACTCCTTCCCTGTTGCCTTGCCTGTGGTTGAATTCATTTTTCATACCTGTGTTTCTGTCCCCTTGGTACATCCTGTTGTCTTGCAATCAATGGTGGCTGACTTAAAAAAAAAAATCTCCATGGAATTTAGTGCTTTGATAAATTAATCCATCCTTGTGTGTTAGCCTTCCAAACACTCGTGTCTTAAGAATAGTTCGCGGTGTGAAAGTAAAACCCTAAGACAGGAAAGAGAGTCAGATGCTGTGTATAAATTCCCGCTTTTTTCACAGGCAAAGGGGTGTGGAAGATAAGGGTTTTGGGGCTTATAACACACATAATGTGTTTTGGGGTTTATAACACACATAATGTGTTTTGGGGTTTGCTGTGTTGTTTGGTTGAATTCAGTGGGTGGTAAATGATGATTCGATGGGAATTCCAGGTGCTAAAACAATAAATACTTAGGCAAAGAAAGAAAATTACTCAGCAATTTTGTACTGTTGCAATAACAGCCTTGCCGCCAAGGTGAAAAGGGATGTTTTCCATTGTGGTGTAAATATGAGAAGGAGAAGAGATAACCACACTTTCATTACCAACATTAAGTTCAGGTGTTCATAACTGACTCTTATATTTTCTTCTCTACAGCCTGGGAGCAGAAAGGGACTCAATAACTGGCTCAGGAATTATTTGGACATTTCTCATTGCTATAGACTGGGTAAAAAAAGAAAAAAGGCATCTGTGGCCATATTGAGATGATCAACACCAAAACTTTACAGGAGCTACTAATCTCATGTTTAGGAAATGCCATAAAAAATCAGGCAGCAATGGACTTTAAACATTATAATGGGGCTTATCACAAATGCATATTTTATGTTTTTTTCTGATACATAAACCCATAAACCCCCTGCATGTGCACGCCAGAAGAAAACCTTTCAGAATCATTCAAGTGCATTTTCACAATAAACACTGATTAATAATTCATTCCTGCACCAGCACTGACTTATTGTTATTTACTGCGATTCCATAAAATGGCTCCTAATGTTCAGAGTCTGACGCCTTACGATGC